GTTCAGGCTGGTGTTGAGCTCACTTTGTAGCCTCGGCTGGCCTTGAACTCACAATGATCCTCCTGCCTCAGCCTCCCAAGTGCTGGGATTACAGGTGTGCACCACTACACCTGGCAGACTATCCTTGAACTGACTATGTAGCCCAGGCTGGCCTCAAACTCTTGGAGATCTTCCTGCCTCAGCCTCACCACCACACCTAGCAACCACAAACACTTCTTGAATACCTACTATGTGCCTAGTTGTGAGATCACAGTCCTCAATAAATGACACAGGACTCCCTGCCTGGGGGGGCTCTAAGACTATGACCTGTCCCCCTGGTAAATTCCAAATGATCTCCCTGGAATTTATCATCCAATCTTATTTCCCTTCTCTTACCCTCGGGCCCCGCCCCTCACAGGTTCAGGTGAGCTCATTGCCAAGGCCCATCTTAGCCACCTCCTTGTCCGCCGAGGAGCCTTCCTGATCTCCAGAGCAGTGGATATTGCTATCTCTGGGTTCCTCCAAGGACCTGTTTTTAGGGCCCGAGGCTTTCTTTTCCTTCCGCCTTCAATACTGGGTATTGAATCCTGAGTCTCCAAACAGAGCTATGTACCTGAACTTACGTACATTTATTTATTTATTTGAGACAAGGTCTCACTAAGTCACCAAATTGCCCAGGCTGGGCTCAAACTCGAGATCATCCTGCCTCAGCCTCCCAGATTGCGGAGATTGCAGGCATGTACCACCACGCCCAGCTTGGGCCCTTGGCTCTTGTCCCAGATATTTATTTGTGAGACTGTCTCTCTTTTCCCAAAATTCTGAGTTTCTGTCATATTTGCCTTTCACATTCCCCATATAAGCTCCTCTGAAATGTTTGTTGAATAAATAAATAGTGAGTCAGGCAGTGAACAATTCCAGAAGCAAGCTTTGGGGGAGGCCAGAATCAAAGGCGAGGCATGGTGGCAGCAAGCAAACACTAGAGGGCGACACAGAGTGAGGAACACGCCTGCTGAGGAGGTAAAGGAAGGGCTCCCTGGGGGAGGGTCCAGCCCAGAATGGAGGCCTCAGGCCGGGTCCCTGGTGGCCCCCCTGGCTACCTAAAGAAGACGTGCCTGTTGCCCAGCGGAGGACGGGGAGGAAACCAGGCCCCTGGGCCTCCCACAGCCTGAGGCTCAGCCTGAGCTCTGCAACCACCAAAACAGGAAACTCCAATCCGTCTCCGTGCCAGGAGAGGAGCGCGGCTCGCAGCAGCACAGTGTGGGCACTTAGTGCTAGAAGCTCCAGCGCTCTCCTGGTGTGAGGTACAGCAGGCCCCCTCCGGTCACTCCTCCGACGGCCCACAGGGTTACCAGCACTGGAGAGGCTCCGCACCGTCTTCCAGGCCGGACATTGTTCCTCTTCTCCTCCTCACGCCTTTTACCCTCCCCACTCCCTTCCCCGCCCCACCCCACCCCGCCCCCTAGGACTCCGGATTGAATCCAGAGCCTCACGCTGAGCTACTTCTCTGGCGCTTTTTATTTTTTTTAACTTTGAGGCAAGATCTGCCTAAGTTGCCCGGGCTGGGCTCCAACTTTGAACCCTCCTGCCTCAGCCTCCCAGAGTGCTGAGACTACTGGCGTGCACAACCACACCCAGCTTTTCTTTCTTCTTCATCAGTTTCCTACAGCCCCAAACCCTGAGCTGCAGTTGCACATGCCTAGTTGGGGTGCCCAGCTGGAGTCCCCCATCTCCTGCCTCTCTGAGATGCTTCGGAAGCCCCTGGAAGCCAGCTGGCCTTTCTCAGCAGTGGGTGCGTCCAGTGAACAGGCCCTGCCCCCAGCTCCTGCCCTCCTACAGTCCACCCTCCACCGAGGAGGCCCAAGACATAAGGTAGCCTAGCTTGGGGTTGCCCACCTCCACTGCCACCTGCCTGCTTTCTAGTGCTCCCTTAGAGTGGGGCCCCAAATTCATATTAGTCCAGGTACTCTTTTTTTTTTTTTTTTTTTTTTTTTTGTCTTTTTGAG